CTGTGAAGACCGGCGACGAGAGGGTGGGGGAGGGGCTGTGAAGACCGGCGACGAGAGGGTGGGGGGAGGGGTTGTGAAGACCGGCGACCAGAGGGTGAGCGACGTGTGAGGTTCTTGGGAGAGTGGACAAAATTGGAAAAAGAAGACTCTAAATGGTTTAGAGAAGCCCCATATGCAAAATGGTTAAGAGGGGTTGTGTAACCATTAAGAGCCTCTCTTTTTTGTCAAACAACATAGACCTCTTACCGATTAAGAGGTTGGCTCTTAATGTAACCATTAAGAGCCAAACAAACAACCCCTTAATCACTCAAATTATAAATAAGAACTAAGTTTTTAGGTTTTAGTAAGTTACAAGATTTATTTATTTGATTTCAATACCTTCAAATGTTTATTTGTTCTGTTAAATAAGTTTAAAAATTTTAGCTACTAAAAAAAAGTTTGAAAACTTCATTATTCAAGTTAAAAGAATTAAACAAGCTTTTAGACAAAAAGGAAAATATTTAGACAGACCTTAACGTTGAAACAACTAAGGTAAAGTTTTGATATTTATAGGGTTGCGTTCTTGTGAGACTAATTTTATTTTTTGAGAGATCATAAAGATAACATTGAATTTTCATAGCAAAACACTGTAAAGATAAGTTTTCTTTTCTATGAATGTTCGTTTGTACTTTTACAGTGTTTTTATTGTGAATGTTCGGTATTTTTTGTACCTTCACGTTGTTTTATTGTGAAAATTCAGTGTTTTTTTATCTTCATATTGTTTTATATGAAAGTTTAATGTTATATTGTGGTATCATAAAAACAAATTGGTCTCGTATGATCAAATTTAGATTTATTTTATGTGAGACCAGTTTATTTTCGTGATAATTCACAATATTATAAGTTCTATATGTTGGACTTTAACAGCAAATATTGATTTGGGCCTGGCAAGGATCCAATCCAACCATTTGATACCAGCAGGCAGCAGTAACGATTAACGAACGTGACGGTGATGTTACCCCAAATCTTCAAATTTTCTTCCAACAAAATCCACATGGCGATGAAGGATCGATCCAAGCAATCCCATAACTGTACTGCATGTTCTTCCATCATCTTTTGAGCAGTGTGTTTGGTAATCTCAATTTCAAGAACTTCACACAGTGTCATGATGAACACTGTTTGAATCAAGCAAATTGATTTCAATTTCCTATTTCTTGTTCAAGTCCGAGGAGAAATGAGGGATGAAGATCCCCTGCCCATATCAACACCCTCGACATTATATTCTTCATCGACATTGATCTCTAATAAAAAGGAAACCGTAGATTCTAGTATATTTAGAAGAGGCCGGTACAAATTCTGGGCCCTCGCCGCCATTATCCTCCTCGCATTCTGGTCAATGCTTACCGGTACCGCCACTCTCCGCCTTTCCGTCGGCAACCTGAACAGATTATCCGATGAAATTGGTGGTGGCACTCCCATATATGACGATTTCGACGTCCTTGTCCGTCCTTTTCCCTCTCTGCGTGTGTTTGTGTGTTTGTTTGGATTGGTTGATCTAATTTATGGCTTTGCATAGGAAATAGAGGAGCGGGAGAAGGTGGTGAAGCATATGTGGGATGTATACACCAATAGCCGTAGGATCAAATTACCTCGATTCTGGCAGGAGGCATTTGTGGCTGCTTACGAGGATTTAACAAGTGATACACCTGAAGTCAGAGAAGCTGCGATATCCGAGATCGCTAAGATGTCTTTGCACTCTATTGATCTTGATCCTCCTCCTCTCCAATCAACGGTTCGTACTATACCTAAATCCCTAATTCTATCTTTACATCAAAATCGTAGTATGTACATGTATTTGACATTAGAAAGGATTTAACTTTGATCGAGCAACGAAGATACTGTTGCATTGTTGGTGGTGTGTACATTTTTATATAGTTATCATCATCGTTTTCACATCCTCCCTCTTATATATTTCATGTGTGACTATACAAAGCTGCAAATATGTAATACTAACATACATAATGATCATGGGATCATGAGCTGGTGGGAAGCAAAAGTGTGGTGCTCTAAAAGATGTAGAATTATAGGCACTTAGTGTTGGGATTTTAGTTAGACAACCAAAAGAGAGAGAAACAAGGAGGAGGAAAATCCCGTTTTTCAAATAGTAAAAATTCACTGTTTTTCTTCTCTACCATGACGAATCAATTGATTTAATGTAGGCATCGCTCTTTCTTTTGTCCTTCCCCCCGATTTTTGCCCTATCACTAGTGGTTACTCCTGATCCGGAGCACCCCTTTTCCATTCATAGAGAGATCCAATCGTCAAAATCAATAAAAAGGCCATCATGGACCAAGATCGTTTAACCGTTGGACCAGGCTAAACTTTGGGCAGCAGGTTCTTAAGGCTTCACTTTCAATGGTGGAGGTTGTGTTTGGAAGTCTGAAGTGTGGGATACAGGTCTTGAACAGAAACTTTGTTTGGGTATTTTCCTTTGTCTTATGTGTTCTCGATTGTTGGTACTAGTGACAGGTAATGTATTATCGTTTACGGATTGGACACTTTGTTTTCAGGTAGTATCATTTGCTGCTAGGTTAGTTGATGGATCATTGGCACAGTTTGTTCATCTATCAGAAACACTCTTGTACCCTAATTTGATCCTAGTGTTTCTAGTTCTTACGTGCAGATGGTTGGTGAGTTTTCCATTGCTTGAGGGTTTTCCACTTTAGAATTTCGGTATCATACTGTTTATTGTTCATATACTTTGTTATTGCTCCTCACCGATTCATGCAAGTTTGGGGAGTGATTGTTTTTGACAGAGAAGTGTCTGCTAAGCCGTGGGCATGCTTTACTGCCTTACTGGTTGAGTGCTTCTTGTTCTGCTTGTTGTTTTAGATTGGTATTCTCCAACAAAAAGCGGTCAGGCTTTCTGGAACCAAGGGATACTTGAATACGGGTTAAGATCAAGTGCTAGATCAACACCTTGTAACCCCAATAAGTGGTCTATGAACTTGGCCTTTTTATATATTTTATGCATGTATCCCATTTAATTTGAGAGAAGAACATATATGCATATAAGTACTTGATAGAGAAGTAACTTTCAGAGGTATAACCATGGTGTAGGATCCATACAGTTTTAGAACACCTGAGGTGTTGATTGTTGACGGTAGGTTTCTACTTATTAAGGTAGGCCCTAGGCATTGATAACTCTGCGTTCTTTATAAGTTCCCAGTTCCCACACTGATGCTAGTTGAGAACTATATTTTCTAAAGTAGTATCACTTCTACAGATATCTGTTTGCAAATATTGTGAGTGATCCTCTACTGGTATTTTCTGAAAACACAAAATTTGTTAGCTAATTTTATTAATGGTAGATGCAGACTGATGTTTGTGTTAATATTAACAATTGCAGCAGCAGTTCATACTTGTCCAAAAACAACCATCTTTCAAACTCCTTGTTGAATGAAAAGTGTTACTGTTGAGTAATCTTTTCTCTTTTGGGCTGTTAGGTTACAATTGATTATTATCTTCTAAATAGAAGTTGAAAAGGATAACCAGTTGGGGCAAGAGTCTTACAAACCTGTTCTCTAACCCTTTGTAGATTGGTATTCCTTCGAAATATTTGTAGACATTCCAAAAGTAGTCTAAACCACTTGTGGTGAGTAAAAATTGGAAGCCTGAACGCAACACCGGTCAGTCTTTGTGGCATATGACCAAAAATATTGAACCATGAATTCCCTGCCTCTTTCACATCTTGAAACTTTGTATTTATAGATGAAGCTGTGATTTTGCCGATTTTCCACTAAAACATTATGGTGGCAGGGTGATGCTTATGAACAATCATATAGGGATGGTTTTTGGCCATAGACAACATTGCTACCATCAGCACCGATCACCGAATGATGCATGGTGAAAGATCAAAACTTTTTTGTGTTTTCTGTAATCACTATTAGTCAATACTTTTCTGTTGAGCACTAATTATGTTAAGCAGTATGAGTTTTAACGGAAACAACTACCATACTCTTTGAGGTAGAGGTTATGTCTGCTTACAACCCTATTTTCAAGCGGGATTTACTGGGTCAGTTCAGTTTGGTTTTTTGAGTGGCCTAGAAGTTTGCTGTGTTCTCATTGCATTGTTGTGACAATCATAATGACCATGTTCTTTGGCTTCAGAATTGCTGATGTGGTTTGTTTTAATTCTTGCAGCAGAATTTACAAGAATCGAGTTTAAGGCTAGCGCAGCAGAACAAGGGCAATCTTCATGACGGAAGTAGGCTTATAACTTGAAGAAAACCAATGATTAGATCCAAGAAGAGTATCACCATTCGTCTATACAGGTTCATTAAATTGATCATATCGTTTTGCAGTTAGTAAAAGGTAGCGTCGAGAAGATATAGCACATTTTCATATCTTCTTACACGACAGGTACGAACACTTTTGTATTTATTTATTCAGGCGCCAATCTCTCTTCTCCTTTACTGTCATTGTGAATTTGTTTATTTCATATGATGTTGCTTTACATTATATGCCCTGCACGTGGGTTACGGTAGATTTCAACCTTCTTGCAGGCTATGGGATCGAGCCTTACCAAATGTGAAAAGTGTGTGTGAGTTTTGGTGTATATAAATATTATATATTTCAAGAATAGTTGTGATGCAAATTACGATTTTGTCCTTGGCTATCACGATCCTACCCCTACATTTCTCTCTTTGTAGAAGTGACTCCCATCTCTTTCGATGAATTTCCCTGGATCTCGCTGAAAGAGGAGTCGAAGGAACAAGATCTACACCAGCAACATGAATGTTCCTCTTGTTATAACAAGAAGAATGGTATTTTTAGATCCGGTAGCAAACAGGGTTGTGTTTGGCTCAATGGACAAAACAGGCAATATGTGTTCGATACAAGAAAATTTGTGATTTTTAATACTTAATATGACGAAACCTTTGTCTTTGGTAACTGTGGGTTTCTGGGCCAGCTTACGTATACAGACTAATCTCCGACGACGAACTTTACATGTTTTTGTGGGGTTTTTTTTTAAAACTTTGTAGAGTATACAAAGTAACAAGATGGGTTATTAATATGCTATAAATGTTAATGACTAAGGTTAATAGCAACAAACTAGCCCGCTATAAGATTAAAAAATTAGAGTTTCCTTCTATTAGGAAGTTAATAATTCGTATAAATTTACCCACTGATTTTTATGTGTTAATGCAGTATTTATATGGTGTTATTTTACATGGGAATAAGACTTCACTCCTACTGGGCCGGTGATTCATTGGGGACAGGGCCGTGATCTCAAACCCGTCCAGTCCTCGTATATTTGATACATTAGAGCATCCACATGGGGCTTGCAAATGGATTGCAAATTGAATTACAAATACATTTTTGAAGATGCTTGCTGCCATGTAGGATTTTGAATTGCAAAATTTGCAATTCAATTTGAAAGCCACGTGGGCACCACCTCCTCTCCAATTTTTTTTTTTTTTGATTATTTAAATAAATTAATTTTTATAATATTAATATATTTATTAATTAAATTAATTATTCTTATATGAAAATATTCTATGCATGTATATATGTTATTTAAAAAAAATATAAATATAATATAACTAAATTAATTTAAACATTAAATTTTATAATTACATAAAATTATAATCTAATATATAAAATTACATATAACTAACATAAAACACGCACGAGTAACAAATAAAACATGAATTAAAATAAAACATGTTATTAATTAAAAAATAATTAGAATGTATATACAAATAATTTATAAAATAATTAATAAATGTTGTAGTGGGGACCACTTTTGAAAGTGTAGGTGAATTGCAGGTGTGTAGGTGGTAATTGCAAAAGCTGACGTGGCACAGTTGAAAGTGTTGTAGGTGAATTGCAGGTGTATGGAAGATAATTGCAAAAGCTGGTGTGGCACAATTGAAAGTGTAAATGAATTGCAGGGATGTGGATGGTCTTATATATTTTATTTGGATTAAATGTATGAAATAGTAAACTATTTTTATATTTTTTTATTATAATATTGTATTTTAATTTTTTTTATTACATCAATAAACTTTTAAATTATTTTTTATTAGGGTACAATACTTTGAAAAGTCTATCCATTATAGCAATGAGTAACTTGTTATCTTTTAAACCGGTTAAATCTTTATTTTTTGTTGTTTACTTGTCTTAAATGAGGTGATGTGAATGACATATCATTAAATCATTTTAATGATATGATCAAAATAAAAGAAAACCTTTTTTTTTCACTTTTCCTTTGCAACGATTAAAATAAAACATTTCAATTTTTTTAACTTTTTTTAATTAAAGTGCATGCAAATTAAATATCAGAGTAAAATATTTCTTAAACAAATATAATATATTATTTTCAAGATAACTATTTTGTTTGGGAAAAAAAGTAACACATCTTATTTTAATTTATTAAAAAATACATATATTTTTAATTTTTATTAAATATTAACGAGATAAATTGTATTCTACAAGTTTTTTTTTTATATTGTTATGTTAATGAACAACTGGAGAAAAAATCTAATTAATTTGATATATTTATATGTCAAGTAATTCTTTTAAACAAGTATGATATATTTTTTAAATGGCAAAATGCACAAAATAGCAATCTACTTTCATAAATTTCTTTATTATAGCATTGTACTTTCAATTTTTCTTATTACAACAATGTACTTTCAAACTATTTTTTATTAGGACATTGTACTTTGAAAAATTTACTCATTATAGCATTAGATAACCTTTTGATTTAAATTTACCCATGATATCATGTTTTCATGCCACTTCATTGTTCACGTAGGCTGTCCACATGTACTATAGTGATGCGACTTTCTTACTACATTATTGTACTTTCAAAATAGTTATTATTATAGCATCTACTAGTTCTTATTAAACATTGTATTTTTAATTTTAATATTTAGATATTTTACATGTTATTTAATAAATATATTAAATGAATTAAAAAATTAAAAATTATTCATTAATACATCAATATCATTAAAACTAGTAGAACACAACTTATCTCGCTAATATTTTAAAAAAAATATGTGTTTTTTGAAAAAAGAAAATAAGAATTGTTCTTTTTTTACCAAAAAATATTATCTTTTAAAGAATATATTATATTTGTTCAAAAACTTTTACTTGATATATAAATATATTAAACTAATTAGATTTTTTTGAATTATTTATTAATATAACAATATTAAAAAATTGTAAATCACAATTTATTTCGTTAACGTTTTAAAAGAGAACTTTAAAAGATGTATATTTATTTGAACAACATAAAATAAGAAGTGTTATCTTTTTTACAAACAAGATATATTTCAAAAAATAATGTTTCATATGTATTTTAAAAATATTTTATTCTATAATATTTAATTTGCATGCAACTTAATAAGAAAAAACCAAAAACGAAATTAAATGTTTTTTTAGATCATAGCAATGAAAAATGAAAATCACTAATAATAATTTGGAATAAGTTTTTATTTTTATTTTAGTTAAGTCATCAAAATGATGTGTCATTCACATCACCTCAATAAAGTCACACAAGCAAAAAAAGTCAAGAGGTTAACCTGTTTAAAAGGTAACATGTTACTCATTGCTATTATGAGTAGAATTTTTAAAGTACGATGTCTTAATAAAAAATAATTTTAAAGTACATTGTTGTAATAAAGAAAAACAAAAGTAGAATGTTATGTTAGCAAAAGAATAGCCAAACCAACCCAATCTCAGAAAGAAGATAGGCCGGCAACCCGGAGACGTACAACCACGGTCCCGACCTTACCAGCACCGGGGAAGTAATTTGCTATTTCATGCATTTAACCTTTTTTTTAAAAAAATAAATATTTTTTTGATAAAAAACGTAACAATTCTTTTTTTTTTTTTGGGGGGGGGGGGTTAAAAAACACATTTTTAAAAATATGTTAGCAAGATAAGTTATGTTTTACTAATCTTCTTAATATTTATATAGTAATGAATAATTTAGATATTTTTTAATTTATTTAATATATTTTTTAAATAATATGTAAAATGAAAAATCAAAGTATAATGTTGTAATAAGAAATGTTATGTTAGCAAAATCTTACACATGAATATCTCAGATGAACAATAACATGACATGAAAACTTGGAACTTGTGTCATGTTATTTTAATTTAAATCAAAAGATTACCCATTACTATAATCTCGATTTTGGGAGGCTATATTTTTAATTAAAATTTAGGATTAGAAACATATACTAAATTTAGGCAAACATGTTTATTAAATGTACAATATGTAAATAATAAAATGTTGAAACTAAAAAGGTTCGATCCTATTCATGGAGATTTCAGAAATATTCTTTAGTGAGATCATACGAGAGGTATGTTATTAGTTTAGATCTAACCAATTTAATGAATTACTCCTAAAAGTCCACATCAAACTATAAAATGCTGTAATAGGAACTGGTGATATTACAATTAAATAATTTGAAAGTACAATGTTATAATAAAAAATGACATGTTAACGGTATGATACATGTGGACAACCTACATGGAAGTGAGGTGACATAGAAATCTGGTATAATGGGTAAACTTAAATAAAAAAGGTTACCCAATGCTATAATAAGTAAAAAATTTAAAGTACAATATCCTAATAAAAAATAATTTGAAAGTACGTTATTGTAATAAGTAAAATTAAAAATTTAATGAAAATATATAGCTATTTTGGTGCATTTTGCCTTATTTATTATTAAATATATTATTTATAAATAATTAGATATAGTATATTTTTAGATTTAGAAATAAATTTTCACATTTATTTTTCTATTTTGATTTGGCATGGTTGATGTACACCACTTTGAATTACATGATTTTGATTATAATTTTGTTTTTTTTTTTTATTTAATGATTTTGATCACTGGTAATGTTGATTTGGTTTTGTTTAAATTCAAATGCCGATAACCACTATTGACACTTAACAACACATATTTTATTTGCAAATTTGAATTTGAAAAAGATTCGCCGATCCCCGTTGGAGATCTCGTTCTCCGTTATAGACAGAGATGAAGATGTGATCATATTCCCTAGTGGGGACGAGGAAGGGAAAGGAGATTGAGGTCCCCGTCCCGTTCCCATCTCTATTCATGAACTGTTATTTTTCCATATACAAAGCAGACATGAACGTTTCACATATGAAACAACATTTTATAAACACTATATTTTCATACATATTGTTTCATATGTGAAAAACGCATATAAAAACTGATTTATACGATTTATTTAGTTCGTAAATTACTCGCTTCTTAATTTCGTCATGTGAATACGTGATTGTGATCATTTCACTTTATTTAGAAACATTTGTACAAAAGTAAACTTACACCAAATAAAAAGTCATTGGTAGACAATTGGCTTTAATCCATCGACTCTCAAATACATAAAGCAAGCTTCAAATTGCA